AATCTCGCTGCTCGGGCTTCTTGAAAAGATTTAGAACCTTTCTAGAGACCAACCTGAAACCAAAACAATAGAGGCAAATCTTAGTGATGTGTCAATAAGATACATAATTTCAGTGATCTGTCAGTTTGTTTGTTCAGTGAGATACATATATTTCTTCCTCGCAAACAATATTTCAGGTTAATATGCCAAGCAAATTTCAGTAGCAGCAGACCATACTTGAACGAATTTGTAAACTAGCTACCTTGCTAGACAACAAACAGGCAACTTAGAGCTGAAGCATCATATCAAACAAAGACACAGTCCAAGAAATAAAGCTTCTCATTAGTTACATTGTTATTTCAGCTTGAATGCATCACTGTAACTCTGCTGAATTTGGAAAGCCAATACAGCAGAATCACGTGTGTGGAGCAGCTGCAGCCTGCAGCTAAATAAACACCAAAAACTTTGCTAATCTCGATATCACTATAATATGAAACTCCAGTCCAGATGTAGTGTGTGGTGTGTGGAGATCCATCCTGAAACTGAAACTGAAACTTAAGGAAGGATCTTGATACGCAACAAGCAACTAACTCAGATGCTCTGTTCTAGAGCAGAAATTGTTTCAATACTAGAATGTAGAGGTGAATTCTGCAAGCCAAAAACGAATTGCATTGTGAGGATGGTAAGGGCGAACCTCACTCGGGATGGCGTTGGCGGCGGCCGGTTCCTGCCTTCACCCAGAGACTACTTGCGCTCCGCTTCAGCGTCTCCTCCTCTCCTGCCTGCGACTCCAGGTGTCGCCGATGGGGAAGGGGACGCTGCCTGCAATCCAATCGCAGAATCATATAAGAAGCAGAAAGAGAAGCAGAAGGAGAAGGAGATGACGCGAACGAGAAGATGGGGGAGCGGATCTGAAGGAGGGCCACCTGGATCTGCTCTCGGCGTTGGAGGAGGACACGCTGGAGCGGAGGCGTCGGCGACGACGGCGGCGGGCTGGCGGCGGCCGTCCGAGAGTGGATGTATTAGGGTTCGGAAAGGAGTCAATGGAAGAGGAGAAACCGGGGTAGGTCTGCCGGGGCGGGGCGGGGCGAAACGGGGATTTTGGGGCGGGTCGTGGTATGGAGCGTGTACAGCTGGGTGAAAAGCGCCTGCGACCACCACGGGCTAGTGGGTGACCGGTGGGGCCAGCGGGGCGGTGCAAGTGGGGACGGGATGTCAGTGTGAGAGAAGCGGAGCCTTGCTGGGGAAAAGACGCAGGATGAAACCGGCGCGTGCGCGTGCGAATATACGGGGACGTGATGCAGGATGTTTCACTGGCGTGTGGGGCAGAGAAAGCTGAAAGGTTAGGTGGGTCCACCCGTCATTGGTCAAGGGTCGAGAGTAATGATGTGGGCAGTTGTTTCGTGGCACCGTGGCTGGCATGCGGCTACGCGCTCCACGTACAGTTTCCCACTGGGAGGAGCGGCTATTGGTAGCTATACCTGGCCAAACGGGCCTATTTTTTTGGGCCGGCACGATAGCCCACGTGCCTGGCCCGTCACGGGCCGGCACGGCACGAGGCTATGTGGGCCGTGCCTGGCACGCGGCCCTGCTTGGGCCGTGCCTGGGCTGCTATGGCTGGCACGCGTGCTAGCCCGACACGGCACGCCCAGTAACGGGCCGGCACGGGCACGGCCCAGCAAGGCACGGCACGGGAGCACGTGAAGCCTGGGAGGGAGGGAATCGATCCGTTGGGGGAGAGAGCGCTTCGATCGAGGGAGCGGGGGGCTGGGGTCTGGGGCGGCCGAGCGGAGCAGCGGGGGTTAAGCGAGGGTTTAGCAGGTTTAGGAGGATTTCGGGGGGGTTTGGGTGAGGTTTGGGGCTGTTTAGGTATATTTTGTTTCAATTTTGAATATTTGAACGGTGGAGGGCAAATTTGGTCTAAAAAATTGTCAGTTTTTTGCTATAAAAAGGGCTGCCCACCCCTCTCATTCCTCACACTCGAACCTCCTCTTCTTCTTATTTCTCACACTCAAACATGGATGATCCCATGGGTAGTGATCCCAACCGGTTCACTTTCAATACTAGTGATTTAGATGTCGACATCCCCGAGTGGGTCGATCCCACAGCCACAGGCCACACATATCCTTCTTCCGACGAGTATACAACCGGTAGCCATTCCACTTCCCAGTCTAGTACCTCCACCTCCATCGGCACAAAGAGGGTTCGACGCAAAACCTCGGCGTGCTGGCAGCATTTCATTGAAGAAATAGTCGTGGAGGAAGGTGTCAATGTGCTGAAAGCTCGGTGCAAGAGGTGCTCCCACTTGCTTTCCTCGGGGGGGAAAGGAGGAACCGGCCACCTCCTCAGGCACGTCGCCATGCACCAGAACGCGGACAAGGAGTCTGCGGGGACACAGGCCACGCTCAAGTTCAACCCCGACGGTACGGTACGCAATTTCACCTATGATCCTGCTCTTCATAGAGAAGGAATTTGTCGTTTAATTGCTTCTAATGATTTACCATTAGGTTTCGGTGAGTCTGAAGGTTTTATCGAATACATTCAAACTGTGCATACTCCTAGTTTCAAATCAGTTTCTAGACAAACTACATCTAGGGATATGAAAAAATTGTGCAAAACTAGTCTTCAGACGATAAAAGATGATTTTACTACATGCACTTTTTCAGTCTCTTTAACATCTGATATCTGGAGTGGTCGGGCAAAGCAAGACTACATTAGTGTGGTCGCTCATTATGTTAACAAAAAATGGGAACTACAGAAAAGAATTATAGGATTCGAATTAATTGACGAAGCACATACTGGTGAAAACATAGCTCAGGTTGTACTTAATGTTGTGTCAGAATTTGGTCTGACTGACAAGATTTTTGCAGTAACTTTGGATAATGCTTCATCAAATACAACTGCAATGGAGAGCCTTAGTCCTCTATTTTCTGTATATGCTACATCTTTTTTAATGCATCAACGTTGTGCTTGCCATATCATTAATCTTATCGCTAAATGTGCTATGAAGATATGCAAGAAAGAGATCGAGATTTTGCGCACTGCAATTTCTTTCCTTGGTAACTCTAATCAGCGAATTAGTAGCTACAAGAGATATTGCATAGTAATAGAACAAACTCCTCATAAATACAATCTAGACATGCATGTTAGATGGAACTCTACATTTATGATGCTTAAGGCAGTTATCCGTGATGAAGTTGCATTCTCGTGATGGATTAATGCAAATATGGGAAGAGAACATCTCAGTAATGATACTTGGGTTGTTGCTAAAGCATTGTGCAAGTTTTTAGAGTTATTTTATGATGCTACAATTACTTTGTCTGGGGTTTATTATCCCACATCTCCTTTAATGATGCACACTCTTCTAGACATTGCATCTCACTTGCAAGCATACGAAAAAGATAGATTATTAATGCCTATGGTTTCTCGCATGAAACTTAAATATTGCAAATATTGGGGGAACATTCCTATTCTGTATGCATTTGCATTTATCTTGGATCCTAGGGTTAAACTTGAAGTGTTTGCTAGTGCACTATCTTTACTAACTAGGGCCCTAGGGATAGATTATATTGCTTATTCCACCGAGGTTCGTGATAAGCTTACTCAAGTTTATGCTAAGTACGATGAAAAGTATGCCGGAGTTCGCACGCAACGACCTCCACCAACACCAGCCGCAGGAAAAAAGAGAGGAGCATGGAGCAAGTTGTTTGCTTCTAGCTCCTCTGCCTCGAGCTCTTCCGCATCTGGACCATCGCCCGTGCTTTTAGGTGGTGGAGAGTTAGCAAAGTACCTCAATAGCGACAAAGTCATCTTCAATCAAGATGAGGAGGACGACTTCGATATAATTCAGTGGTGGCATGAACACAAGCTTACATATCCGGTGCTTTCCATATTAGCACGGGATGTGTTATCAGTACCCGTCTCATCGACATCATCGGAGTCTGCTTTCAGCCTAGCTGGAAGAATACTTGAGGAAAGAAGAACCAGTCTCACCCCGGATATGGTGAGAACACTCATGGCCGTGAAAGACGGAGAACTAGCCAAAAGGAGACGCTTGCAAAGACGCTAAGGGCCAGTTCTTTGGACTCGATTCTGAAGAATCACTGCGTGGAAAATCACAATCGCAAAAGAACTCATTGCTTCTCCAGGAATCGTCTAGAATCACCCACAATCGGCAGTGTATTTCAGAATCGAGCAAACTTGACGATTCTGGCGATTCCCGCAAAGCAAAACGATTCAGTTTTAGCAAATACCCCTATTGGATGTAGAAATTACCCCTAATATGCCACTCGGGCCAGCCGACCGACAGAGAGGCCCAGCCGAAAGTACTCGTCGATTCCCCCCAGTCGCTCGTCCCCATCGCTCATCCCCATCCCCGTTCGACCTAGGGTTGGCGCCGCCAGCCGGATTCCCCGCCCCGAAATCGTCAGCTCCGCCGCCGGCGGTCCTCTACAGGGCATCCCCGTCCAGTCCACAGCCACCCCCGACCCCTCGGCGCCGGCAGCAGGAGGCGAACCGGCTTCCCCGCCCCGACC